TTTTTTTTTTTTTTTTTTTTTTTTTTTTTTAGTTGGTTTCCTCTTAATTGGGGAAATTTAAAACATCAAGCATCACTTGAAGTATCAAAAACTAGTACTCATGAACCAATTGAACCAATGACTTGTAGATTTGGACTAAGTGATGTTACAAGAGAAGGTTATTCAATAATATCCAGTCCAAATAAGGCATTATCAGTAATATTAGATGCAATGGGTAGAGTGTTATTAATAGATAACAAATGTTGTATAGCTATTAGAATGTGGAAAGGTTATAGAGATGCACAATGTGGCTGGATTGAAGTGGAAGAAGAAAAACATTCTGGAATGCACAAAGCATTTAGTAAATTTAAACAAACTCCACAGTTGCGTTCTGCTTTTTTTTTAGTCATTTATGCTCCAAAAAAGGGAATAATAGATATATGGAGTACTCAACAAGGTCCTAAAATTACTACATTTACTGCTAGTAAACATGGTCGGTAAGTAACAATTTTATTTGAAAAATTAAAATTATTGTTTTAAATAAATATTATTACGCAGATTACTTTATATTAATTATGGTCTTCTTGGTGTAAATGATAATATACACATATCAAAGAATAAACCACAATATTCATGTATTTTTATGGATCCTCTTGGAGGATTGAAAGAAATTACAGTACCATTTCATTTTGCTCTTAATAGTAAAAATGGAAAAAGAGCACGTGATATACATTTGCTTAAAAAATTGAAAACTTTTTTACGAGAAGAAGAATTTGAATATGAGAAATTAATTTCAGAAATTGAAAATGTGTGTTCAGATTTAAAAACTAATGAAATAAAAGTGCAAACATTAGAAATGTTAATGTCAAATAAAAATATTATTCCTGATGCTTTATTAACAGCTACAAATTGTTTTACTAAAAAATTAGACGAATGTGGTATATTTATTATATTTATTATATGTTATATATTTATTATAAAAATAAATCTTATTTAATAATATATAAATTTTATATTATAGATAAAGAAGAAATGGAACCTACTACTAAAACGCTTTATTTATTAACAACACAGTTACAACAAATAATTACTTTTTATAAATATATTGATTCTCAGTTTAATACATTGGAAAATAATATTTCTATAGATTATAATAATAGTAATCTTAATACAAGAAGTTTAGCTTCTACTTTATTAACTTCTGAAAGAGAAGTGCATAGAATTTTTGAATTGTTTAATACAATAAATAGTTATAAGAATTCGGTTTTTAACTCGGAATGTAAAGTGAAATTTAAAGAAGATGGAAAAATTTTTTCGGATTTTTTATCTTGTTTTGAATTTGGAACACTAGGATTTATCGATGTTAAAAAAGATATAAAAATAGAAAAAGAAGATAATATTTGTAAGTATTTTGATATACAATTTTAAAAAAATTCATTATTAAATATTTTTTTTGATATTTTTAGCTCGATTAATGTATGAAGGATGTATACATTCATGTGATAAGATTGAAATGTGGAAAGAAGCTGCTAAAAATAGTAATATTGAACCATTTGTTTTTATAAAATTTGCTTTAATCTATTGGCTTAATAAACAACAAAATTCATATTTGGAAATAGAATTAAAATTTAGAATGAAACAATTTACGCAACTCTTACATGCTATTTGTTCTATAGCAGGTGAATATCAAATAAATTTTTTAATATTATAATTTAATATTTTAATTTTTATTTTAATCTATCAATTTTATTTCTTATAGATATTGAAGATATATGTGCAGAATATAATGAAATATCCTTGTGGTGGAAAAAGGTTCGTAATATTCTTTTGAATTCAACAAATTCATTTAATGCACTTAGTGCTGCTTTGATGTGCAGAGCTGTTGCAATGTCTATAGAAAAATATAAAGAAAAATATGATAATAAAGAAATTGAAGAAAATAATGATCAAGAAGGAATAAAAAATGAGAATGATTCAGAAAAAATAAAGCAAAAACAAAATTATGTTAACAATATGAAATCAGATGATGAAATATATAATTTAACAAATGAATGGGAAAATGTTACTAAAGATAGTTGTCAATTTACATTACTTATTGGAAATCTTGAAGACATTACGATTTTAGATGCTATTGTAAGGTAAGGTAATTAGTGATGAAATTTATTTTTTATAAAATTTTTATACAATTTTTATTTCAGTCAACAACCTCCATTGGATACTACATTACAATTTTTTGCATTACCATTTGTAAAATTCGATATTTCTTTAGGATCTGTTCTTTCAAAAGGAAAAGGTTATATATTCATATAATACAACTTTTATTTTATGTAATATTATATAATAATATTATTTTATAACTAGGTTCTGTGTCAGAAATAGTTGCAAAATGGATTGCATCTACGGGTATCGATCCTTCTGAATTAATAGATACAACGGATACAGAATTTGATCATATGCGGACAACAAATGATTTTTTAGAAGTACCAAATTCTTCAGACGAAATTTCTAATGCTGATAATGTTTCACAATTTGATTTAGAGAAATCTCTTTCAATATCTTCTGATATAAAAAATGAAAATAAAGATAATATAAATACTACTTCATGTATTTTAGGTAAATGATAATAATCTCTTTATTGTCAATTCTTAATTATTTTTTAAATATTAGACTGTATTAAAGTCTTTTATTTTTAATTTTCAGAAAAAATTAAATTATTAAAACGTCATTTTCCATATAGTTTAACAAGTAGTGTTTTACTAGCTAATATATGTTGGGAATTTGCAATGTCATGGAATAAAGATATTTCACAGTTGAAGTCTCTTGAAGCTGCATTATCTGTTTTACGACAAATACCTATGAAACGTATGAGGCACGGTAAAAATTCTGAAAACTATTTATAAAACTAAAAAATTATGTTAAATATTTTTTTAAATAATATAGTTATTATATATTCTGTAAGTAAAATTTTATTTCTTAGGTGTTTGTTGTTTGCTATGGTCAGTTCACATGAAGAAACGAATGGAACTAGTTGCAAAATTAATTAATAAACTTGGAAAACTACCAAAGGAGAGATTATGTATGCAAGAAATCGGATTATCTGATATACAAATAATTACATTTTTACAACATTGTGTTACGTTTTTAGAAATATTTATTGATGTAAGTTTTTGATATATTAAGATTTTAAATGATTTTATATCAAGTTGGTTAAAACTATGTGAAACATTTTTATATTATTTTAGTCTGAAATACTCGAAACTGGAGAGAATATAGTTATTAAATCAGAAGAAATATGGGAAGGTTGTACTTCTAGTCCACAACCATTTGCTGCATTAGCTATTTCTCAAGCACCCGCTTGGTATGATCTAATTATGTTGCATATACAGTTAGCTAATGTTTTATATATGATGGCCTATTTTAATTTAAAAGTAATAAAACCATTAAATAATTTATTTGAATCTGTAGTAAGTAAATCAAAAATATTAACTAAAAATTTAAATCCATAATTATAATTTTTATACAATTATTAAATTCTAAATATAGGTACAACCATATTTTTTTCAAACGATGTCAGATAAAGTAATGCTTACATGGTATCGAGATGATAAAAGAGATAGTCTAAGAACTACATTTCTATGTCGAATAATTACTGCATCAATGGATTTTATTCATCAAGAAACAATAGATGGTAAAATAACTAGTTCAGTACAAGCTGTTCAATGGATGAGTAAATGTCAAACATTAGCATCCATTTGGAAAATTAATAATGACGAATTAAGAATATATCAAGTTTGTCAATTATATGTGAATGGTTTTGATCGATTAGCAGAGGAAGTGAGTAAAAAAACTATAATTTGATATAGTATTTGATAATGTCCCATTTGAAGAATATATATATTTAGTCTTTTGAAACAGGTTGTTACAGCTGTAAACGATGTTGAAAAGTTAGCAGAAGATCTTCTGCCAATTGCTGCAAGAAGAATGATGGCATATCTTTCAAAATCACCTGATCTTTTAGAAGAAGTTTCTCGTATAAGTCCAACTCTTACAAAATATTTGGAAAGTCTTGTAAGTTATAAAATTTATTTCAATTTTATTATTTTTTATTATTAATAAAAATATTATTAATAATTTTAGGATGTACCGGAAATAATTTGTACAAATTGTTCAAATGATGATACTATTGAATTAATACGACGTGTTTCAAGACATTTGCCAGAAACACATTCTAATTATCATCTTGCACAATTAATGCTAGATGCGGTATTCATTTATGAAGGAACAACATGATGTTCAAATATTTAAATAGGAATAATTTATAGGGTATAAGTAAATTTATCTCTGCTTTATGTTTTTAATTGTATTGAATCTAATGTTTTAAGTAAATATAAAATATACTTATCATGTATCATTGATATCCCATCATATCAGAAATAAATAAATACTTGAAACATTTGATTGCAAATTATAACAAATATGGACGTACATTTATGTCGCATATAATAAATTAAACGAAAAAATTTAATTTCATATTATTTCTATTCTTATTTAATTTGTTTTTCGTTAAAAATATCTAAAAATTAATTATTTTTAATTTTCTTATCTATTATGCTTATTAAAAATAAATTATAATTCACATATACTAATATTAGTTTTTATCCTATAAACAATTTCGATATTTTGACTATATTTTCTGGAGCATAATTCAATTGTCGAAATATTTTAATCATTAAAATATGTCTGAAAAGATACATTTTATCGTTTCAACTTCGAAAAAAATGTGATATTAAAAAGAAATCGTTTAATTAGAAACGTATAACATATCCTTTATATTGTAACCTACTAATGCCCTCCCAATTCGTAAATTCGCAGCGATCAATCTGACTACCTGGACTTCCAACATTTGTTAGCCATTGTGCCCTGAAATAAGAAATTCGTTCATTTACTTAATCATAAAGTTAAACAATAGTAATTATTAATTAGTATTATTTAAATTTATTTAAATTTTTTTATTCAACTTTTATAATTATAAAACAGTTTTTATAATTATAAATTTTTTATATTTCAATTTATAAATTATACATACTAGATGATATTTATGAAAGCTATAGTTGAATACATTTAATTGGAATTCGAATAAACAAACGATCTATTGTTTTTTTATTATCTATTATTAGTTTTATGATGCTTAAGTATTTCATGATGACATAATTTTATTACCGTGCAATTAATATTATCAAAAAAAGAAAATGGCATCACTAATCACTTTTTTACTAATTTTTAAACAAAATTTGCTTATATAAAATTTAAATTTTCGTAAAAGTTGAATTGAATGAATCAAACTTGTAAAAATGTAATTTTATTTTTATATTTAATATCGTATAAAATATTTATGGAATATCAATACACAATGAATTTTTGGATGGATTCCTGAAATCATTTGTTCTCCACATGCATTAAAATCACTGGTTTAATTTCTATATATCTTTTGGAATGTTGAATTTATCAAATTTCAAAGCTTTTAAATTTGGATAAAAGATAGAATATTTTCTAAAAATATTATTTTTTTGGATTCATTAGGAAATTAATCTCAATTAGGAAATATATATCAATCACAATATAATTGATTAAGTGTGCAAATTGTATACGCATTCTATCTTCAATAGTCACTATAGTTTCGCATACTATATAATTATAATTAGCGGTTAATCAGACCGAGTTCAGATATTTTAAGCATCTGTATCGAAGTAGGATCTTTAAAGTCGATCAGCTGTCCCGTGACAACAATACGAACGATTTATTAACGCGTCAATGTTTCGATTTGCCATGGATATTCTGAATTCAAGATTTTTTTTCCTGAAATTTGTTTTTGCATTCAACATTTGTAGTTTGAACATTTGTAAAAATTACATATTGTGATATATTTGTATGAAAACTTATCTTGAAAACAATTTGTTGACTTTATGAATAAGTTCATGATTAAAATGTGAATTGTACGATAATTGAAAGTCTTATAGAAAATAAAATTTAAAATATAACACGAATATTGCGCAAATGGCACTCGAACGAAGAAAATTAAAAATCGATGAATTTAAAATGAAATTGAATGATTTCCTTTTGGGGAGAAGCCAAAAATCAATGTTTTGTCCTCGACCGAGCTATTTTCTTTGACAGGTTCTTCAGGTTCACGAGCAAAACAAATTCGATCGCTAAATGCATTTTATAACACGTTTTCATTTATAATATGTGTAATATAAATATCTATCCACGTTGAAATTTATATTTATTCATATATTATTCATAGCAATCTTGCTCGATTAAATCAAATAATTTGTCTTTCGAATATCGTTTCTTCTATCTGTACGCAATTGGCAAAATATATAGATCAGTAGGTCTGGCTTACTTCTCTAAATAACGATTACATCCTTCTCATCTTATTCTTTCTCTACTGTTCCTTACAAGAAATTCGTCGTTTCTCTTTCGTATCCCTCTTAAAATAAAGGATACTATTAATATAATTCCCACTTTTCTAATTTGGTTTAATTTTCAAGTGAATCATTCCATTGTGGTTAATTTTATTGTTTCAGAGAAATCAATAGAATCAAACGATCGAGCATTATTCTTATTCTTATTCTCTTCGACCAGAGAAAACTTGATGCACTAAGATTATATCATTTCTCAAATTAGTTTAGTCCTTATCTTCCATTTGTTTCGTTGTCATAATTATTTATACTATCTAGTCTCGCTTGTCTGTCATTATTGTCAAGTTCTATCTTTAACATTAACTGTTTGCATTCTCATATTAATACTTTCGTCGTTGCTTTTTAATGAATACGCATTATTTACCGAAGAATCGTCTGCAATAGAAGCGGCTCGTTACAAATAACTGTTGGAAAGCAAACGACGCGATTCGGCAATAATTCATGAAGGAAAGAGTCATCCGCGCTATTATTTCATTAGATCATTATTAAAGTCAGGCCCAACTACCTAATGGTAGTTACTCAGCAATTTGCGGCTAAGGTCATGCGATTTTACCAGAGCACTGAATTCGTGAATTTAAGTTAATACTAAGTTAAGTTACTAATTCGTGGTACGAATTACTGAAGGTAAAATCCAGAAAAAGACGAAAGATAGATCGAG